AAAAGCACAATATAACTTTGTTTTAGGTACTATTTAATCAACATTTTTAAATTTATGCCATAGTGATTGATTACCAATAACCATCAAATTACGAAAACATGTTGTGTTAGCAATAACTTTTTTTTGTTGCACAACTTATCTTACACCGATGGAAGCGAAGCAAAAAAATAATATATTATTACGATCAATCAAATTTTAATACTAATTATTTGCCAATTACACTATTTTTTTTAATCTGTATATTATAACATAAGAAAGAAAGTTGAGGTAATTGGTATTATAGAAATAATTATGATTATAATATTATAATACTTGGAATTAATGTTAAACTTTAGTTACACCAGTACTTAATCAAGTATGAAAAATATAACTGAAACTTAACATTTTAAAATTTAGTTATTAAATAAATTTATTGAAAATATTTAACATCCTATAAGATTATTAATTTGTTGTTGGTTCTAGAAATCGTCTAAAATATTTCACTAAAATGAAAATTCTCACAGAAAATTTCAAACCTTTCAAACTAATAACATTATTAACTTTTATTTATAAAATAGTAAATTACACTAAAAACATATCACGGAATTCTTAAAACTATATTTCTTTAAAATGTAACCAATTAAATTGTAGTTCATAATTATTATTTTGAACAGTAAAATAAAATAGAGTTTGCCAATACCAAATTGTTTTAAATGTTTTAAATTGTCTGCATTTTAACATTTTAATTAATACTTCTTAGTCGTGTACAGTTTTTAATTAATTAAAACTTATCATGGAAATGATCAATTAATATTATAATGTGCTTTGATTCGTACGATAAGTTATTACACGTGTTATGAATATATTAATTTTGAAAAAAAATTGGATGAATGTACATTTTCAAAATATCATACAAATATGAAATATATTTAGAGATCATAGATTAAATAAGGACCATTAAGATAAATATATAAAAATACAGTTTATATAATATACACATGCATATATATATTTATTTATTCAACTTTTAACTTAATTCTATATATGCTATAAATATTAGGTACGTTTGAAACATTGGTATAATTTTTATAGTTTGATGTACAAACTTCAATTCTTTCATGCCAATAACTAGGAATATTATACTTTAGTTTATAAATGTTAAGAGTCTGTAACTCGTACTTTCCAATTACTTTTTCTTGTACAAGTTCATTCGTCTTGCACTTTCCAAATAATATACAAAGTAACCCATAAGATTTAAATAAGTCTGTATGTATTAGTTTGATCGTCCAAGTACACTTTTAATAGAAGTGGATCACATTCAGCACTTATAGTAAAATGTGTACTTTCATCCTTTAACCAGCTGGGTCATGTATCTTTTAAAATGTTCATATTTATAAATATTACAAAATAGTTATTTTTTTATAAAAGTTATTGAAAAAATTTCAAAGTATCGTTATTAAAAATTGAATAATTGGTTTCATATTTGTATAAAATGTAAGTTTATATAGAAAAGGATAAATTTACCCGGTAAATATTATCAAATATATTATATTTATTATAATTACAAATTATTGCCAATTTGATAAACTACGAAGACAGTATATAGCTCCACTGATTACAATAATGATTAGCAAATGGAATGTCATTGCGTTGAAAAGGTGACCTTATACTAATATATTAGTTGGCTAATTCTGCTAGTGAATACAATTAAGTTTTTTTACTCAACCAGTTGGTTGAATAATGAAAATAAAAATTTTACCATATGTGTTTAAGATGATCCTTTATATCTTACTTGATTAAAAAACTAAACTAATTAATTTTTATGTTTTTCTCCCCATAATAAAAACAAGTTATGAAATTTTTAATTTATCTTATAATTTTAAATATTGGAAGGTATAATCAAGTTATGTCATTTGGTATCTACCTTAAGTTATATTTTTTCTTTATATTTTTCTGTATCTGTCTATCTCTGTCTCCACCTAACTGTCCATCTATTTGTCACTCCATCTGTCTGTCCGTCTATCTGTCTGTCCATCTGTCTCTCTGTCTGTCTTTTTCTTTCTCTCTCAAAATCTCTCTAAATTGGTATGGTTAAAATATAAATAAATAATTGTTGTAGTTTTATGAAAGTGAAACGTGATTGTGTGGTATCAATGCGTAGTTTTAAATGAATATCAACTGCCTTTGTGTTACATATGTAATTATTTCTGGATAAAATGTCATCAACAAATTTTAATAAAGTCGATGATAATTTTTTTTTTGTTGTTTTTTTGTATTAAAGTTTCGATATACCCATGAACCTAATGTTTGAAAGAATTTTACAAAAAAAAAGTTCTACACGATTAATATCATATTATAGTTTGAAACATTTTAAAACAACGAACTTTATTATCATATAAAAATAATTTATAAATTCAATTAATACAATATAAGAATGTTTAAATTAACATAAGATATATAAAAAAAATTACCACAATAGTGTTTTGGTTTTACTGCATAGTTTTCCATATAATATATAAGTCTACGTACTTTATCAGAAACTATAATTATTATACATAATTATTCACAACTCTTATTTCATAATAAATAGAAAACTATACAAATAAAACTTTACATTTTTTTTTTTTGTAGTGTATAAATCATGTTCAATCTTTCAACTTATACCTACGTCAAATAAAAATTATCATTAAAAAATACTTTTTTTTTTCATAGCTGGTGCACGCAAACGCACAATATAATGTTAAAATACACACCCACCGTCGACGGCTCTGTAAGCATAAAAGTTGTCGGGTCTAGCCAGTCAACTGGACACGCAATAAATATTACTAGAAAAATGTCAATTTAATATTCCACGAAACGAGAAAAATTTAAAATATATAACCATTGTAAGTATATATTTTCTTCTATTCGGGGGAACCGATTTATTTTTTTTTTTTTTTTTTACGTGGAAATAAAAATGAAAAAAATTGAAAGAAAAACATTCCAACCCCATGTTAACTGTATAGTCGAGCTTCAAGATTTGATTATACACATTGTGTACAGACTTTCCACCCGCACACCGCAGAGTCTCCTCGAACAAAAACATTACACTCGTGGTGCTATTGTTTATTAACGAATGGCGACGGCGGAGCGACGGCGATCAAAAATCATTCCGTCTCGGTCAAGTGCTGTGCGCGCCCGGAAACACCGCGGCTAAAGGGTAAACGGGTGACATGGGGACGCGCGACGACAAAGACATTTATAAGAAAACATCATTTCCGTCGGGGGTACTACGCGGTATCCGACCGAACGAGGTACAAGACATCATAAATTTTGGTTGACAGATATATAATACCGACGGGAACGCATTAAAGGTTCTGGGTCAAGAGTTGGCGAAGATTAATTCGGTTATTTTTCTTTAGTCTCCCCTCATCTTACACGCATACGCACGCGCATCTCGTTTAATGTTTTACTATCGCGTTCCATGCGCGTGTGTCGAGCGGGGGCTTGCATTGTGCACGAGACAGCACACCGGTCGGACGAAGCAAATTGTTTTCAGATTTCACTGCGTGTTTCGCTTCGTTCCGACGGACTCCGATGGAAGCAACTGTCTGGTGAAAATCAGCTTTTGCGCTAAAAAACGAAATAGAGTTCATCGGATGAACCACCAGAGCACAATCTATTACAGGAGTACGTGAAAAAAAAAAAAAAAATTAGAAAATGGTGAAAAACTTAAAATTTGATTTCAGTGAAACGGATTGTTTTAAAAACATGCAATATATAATGTTACTAAGGACGAAAAACTTTTACGACACAAATAAAACTATTTACCTCAACTAGGGTAATAATTATAACAATTAATCAATTTAAATTGATCAAAATTCAACAAATTGAAATCATGTATGTTAGTTTCTCATAAACTATTTCAATGTAATTATAGAGTATTATTATTACGAGTTGTAATAATATTAGTAACAAGAAATAAAAACAAAAAAATGTTGATGACGAACGTGAATGAAAAAAAGGTTGGAAAACACTACAATAGATCATCAAAATGACTATAAACTAAATAATACATCTAACTACAATCATCGAACTATTTAGACGAATAATTCGATTTATTGGTAAATCACTGCATACTGTTTACTAATTTATAAGTTTGTATGTACCGCAATCATATTTATATACCATTATTACATATGGTTTAAATGTGTAATATACACAGAAAGAAAAACCAAAAATAAGTATAACAGATTTTTTTGTACGCGATTACTGTAACACAACTATTTACGATTGAAAATAATAATAATGGTTAATTGGATTTCAACGTAGATATTATAATCAAAAAGTATACTTTAATTCATCATCATCATTATTATTATTATCATCAGTATTATTATTTTCTTTTTTTAATTCATACATTGTATTGGACATATGAAATATTTAATAATTTGTCATTACTTTTTTGTTATATATAGTCTGGATAAGTTTTATTAATTTAAAAATGTAAATGTAATCCATAAAAATGTAATTCAAATGTCACGCACTAGTTGAATTAGTTTCAGTAAGATATGAAATTTAATTAATTGATAAAATTTACCACGAAGTAACGGAAATTAAAAAGATATACCTATCTAAAAATATATTCTACGAGTTAATTAATTCATAAACATCCATGCAGGGATTTGAATAAAATAATGATTATTATTTTTTAAATATTTATGTACTTTAGATATTTTACAGTAAGTATTAAAATTAAATATAAAATGTATAATATATGAGTTTAAAATTAAATATTCTTTATTATATAAATTAGAGAAGAATTGCTTTTATTTTTAATGCCATTCTTAATTTGCAAATAGTGAATATATATATATATATATGTTTTCAATCATTCTTTTAACAATTATATCAATTTTTTTTTTTTGTATATTTTATACATAAGTATATAAGCCGCAATTTACATTGTATAATAACGTGACGCTGTATTACGATAAAATAATAATTTTTTTTTTTATTTTATTCAAATTATTAAAACTTACCTAACGAAGTATAAACTTGATATCTTGTTAAATCCGTTAAGTACGATGCCTTTGAAACCTAAAAAAATATATAATATTGATTTAATATACTATTTAATAACTATAATGAGCTTCAATATATTGAAAATAAATTATTAATACGAGTATAACTTATGTCGTTCAATAAAAGCATGAATAAATACATAATATTATTTCCATCTATTTTAAACGATATTCAGTATTTTTACATCCTGTTTGACGATATCTGCAGCATTCATTTTGTCAATTCTATGTCAAACGTCAAAAGTGTATATTAAAAAAGTTGATATTGTCCAAAGCACTAAAGTTAGATTAGAAATAATTTTATATGGTGGTTAAGTATTCTTAAATTATCTAATTTTCCGCACAATTTTCTTAATTTTTTCTTTCGTAACCTTTTCCTGACAATAATAAACACATCAAAAATAAAATTAACGAAATCTGTCAATCCATTCACGCGTGATGGCGTGACCAAGGGAAATAGGGATTCATTTTTAGATATTACAATAATGTTGTCGTTGGCGTACTATACGTGGAAATTTAAACATCACGTTTATGCCTGTAGATATATTTGTATGCCTAATGATCAGTGTTGGAAATAGATAATCCAAAATTTATCTAGATAAATATGAAAGATAATATGTCCAAATTCATCTAGATAAAGATAATACGAGTAGATGAAAAAAATTAAAATATGGTAAATATATAGTACTTTATCGCATCAATCGTCCGTTTCAGATTGTGATCAAAGCATCTCTAATTATATTTATTTAAATTTGATAAATGAATTATTAATACACATGATACGGTTACAAATTATAAGCTTTTATTATTGCTCAATAATGTCAGCCTTCAATTCAGTAATATTTTTCCAAACATTTCGGATGTCACCTTTAGAGGAAGAAAAATCCAATCGTTGACACTTAAACTTATTTTCAGAATTAGAATAATTACCTCCGAGTCATGAATATTGTTTAAAAACGAATGCTGCAGTGTGCTTTCAAGACGACCATAAACGTCTTGAATACGGTTTACATAAATTAAACATTCAAGAAATTAAAATAATTTTTTGCCAAACGTAATACGATTCATGAAGGGCTTATCCGTTTCAATTATATGAGACGCGGCCGACGGCGGATCTTATCGCATCAAACGAATTCGATTTCCATTAAATTATTTTAAACGTATTAAAACTATAATATTATAATACCTACCGTTTTCCCGTAAAATTATCTTTGTTAATATTTTCATCGTAACGATTTTAATTCGAACCCCGGACCGTTTTACATTTTTATATTTGACCGTGGCAAACCGTTGACCGTAAAAAACGCATCGTAATGCTAGATCTGATATAAAATGAATACTAACTGTTGGGGTACATCATTGTCGATGCACATTTCTTACAACGTTTTGAAACATCGGTGAATCTGTTCACCGAGACGAATCGCAACGGATCGGCTCGTGTCACTCGAGCGGCTAGTACTACGAAGTCAACGCGTCCGGCATGTTAAAAATCGAAACGGAAATAATAATACGTAGAGATCGGGCGTGGGTCGACGAGTGCATCATTAATCATCGTACACGAGTATATTATACAATCGTTTATCATGCGCGCGTACACCGTCTGAGTATGTGGAACAGGTGGACCCTGATTGCTATTCATTTGGGGTCTGATTACTATACATACTACATATCACTATATGAACACTGTTTGAACAGGGAATTCGCAGCATCAGCAGCAACAAGCAGCTTCAGAGGTGCTCGCCACCACTGTAAACGGGTTGAACGAAACGAAAATGCATTTTTTCGCAGATCACGTTTCGTACCCGTTCGTGTGCAGTGTGTCCCGTCTTGAATGTAACACTAAATGTCTCAGACCGATGGTCTTAGATTGAAATACGATTTGCTGCAATAGCTAAACGGCACTGAAGTAAGTATTAAAGGAAATTTTCAAATTTTTAACTCATGCGCAATACAAATGTTTTTTTTTTTTTTTTTATTGCAACATTTATTTTTGTCACAGCATGTGGATAGATCGTTTTATTATAAATCATTTTGACCATAGATCTAAACATAAAATTGACTGAGTCACAGCTTTTTGATTTTACCAAAAACATAACACACTTGTATTGAATGAATTTTTTTCTAGAATTTGAAATTTGAATTAAGAATTTGAAGTAGAAAATTAAATAAAAATTACTCTGTTACATTGTTTTGATTAATATTTATTTTTTTATATGTAATAAAATGTTCAAAATTTCCTAACACAATACTAACGTAAATTACAACGTCATTGTACATTTAATTAGTAATTTTATTTTTATATTCATTTATTTATTATTTGGTATAATTTTTTTTCCGGTAATTTTCTATTAAAATTTTAAAATTTATTTAATTTTAGATAAAAAATTATTATTTTTTGTGTTTAATTAATTTGTTATGTTTTTATAAAATGGAAAAAATTAATTATTTTAAAATTTCAAAAATCTGAAACTCATTTTAGGTTTAAAACTATAGAAAATGTATTGAAATGATCTGGAATAAAATTATCTATCCATATTTGATAACAAAAATAGTATAAGTGTTGCTATTAAAAAAAAAAATAAAAATATTTGTATTACGCATGCGCATACTACAAGAGTTAAAAATTTGAAATTTTACTATAATTTGTTCTTCAGTACCTTCTAACTATTACAGAGAACCGAGAACCGTATTTCAATGGAAGATTATCGGACTGAGATATTTAGTGATAAATGTAAAATGGAACACACTGTATTAATGGATGTTACGCGCTTCTGTGTGAACAGAATTGCAAACAAACTGGTGCACAGTATCAAACGGATGATCAATTCGTGCGTCGGAATAGCTAATTTCTCTATAACATGACAATCAAACGATAAATTAATTACGGATTCGGGTTTGAAAAATAAAAATCGTTGTGCTTGGTGAGACAAATGGGTTGTTGGTACGAATAAATAGGTACGAAAAACATTGGAAAAGGGTTTTATCCGTCCCACGAATATCGCGATGTATTACGCGGTCGAAAAGTAAGCGTAAGTTGTCGAAAAATAGATACTGGTATTTGCGCCCGTACTGTTGCGCAGCAAGTCTAGATGTCATGGGTATGAAATGAAATAAAATCGACGTCGTTATTAGCGGCCCAAGTGAAAATAATATTTTGAAGAAACCAAAAACGAAATCGACCAACCTTACGTAAACGGATAAGACATGCCGAGGTTTATAAAAAGAGATTTAGACGTCTTAAACTCAGAATAATGACTTTGTTTATAGAGCAACGTGGAAGATGTACCGTTATAAATAAACTTCACATACACCATATAATAAAAAAAAAAATCGTTCCTTATTTAATCCACGTTTTTAATTAAAAAAAAAAAACAAAAAAAAATCCTATTTGAAATATTTTTAGATTTGTAATTCGAAAGCCTTTATCGCTGATCGTTGTGCTTCGTTATTTTTAACCGAACAAAAGTAGATAGCAGGTAGGTTATAAACGATTTAACATTATACGAGTTGCCTTTTGCTTTTATTTTTTATCATATTTGACCCGGTCCCGTGGTGGTCGAGATACATTTCGAGCACCACTATTCACCCGGCCACAACCCTGGACGATGTTAACACCGATCCGACCAACTCCCATGCACCTTGTACATCGGTCGGTGAAGGGGACGGAACAACCGGTGACGACGTAACCACCGGGTCATTGCTAGACCCCGAGCAACCGTCATGAGACGCATTAACATTTTGACCGGCAGCCACCAAGGATGACAGCGTGTCCTGTTGTCGTTCAACGATACCGTCATTATTCTTGTACGTCGTTTCGTACGAATGAAAACATTAATCGTAAACGGTTCAGTACGTTTAAATTGTGTACACGATTTTTCCGCCTGACGTGTTGAAACATTTTTGTTGGCCACCGGGTTCGCGCGTGGAGTGCGATTCGATGTACTTAAATACGTGTCCAACCTATGGGCGCAACTAGAGCCCAAATATTGGGGATGCTGAAATTGCTAAAAATAAAAACAGGAGTACCACATTTGAACTCTGGGGTGCTAAAAACCCTATTATACCTCCTAGTTGCGCATATGCTTCAGCCTGCAACCAAAATCGTATGAAGGCCAGAGTGTACACGGATCGAGTAAAACAAATAAAGTATGAAATACCCGATAGAACGAAAGAGAATATTCGCATATACAATAAATTCGGTTAAATAGAAATCAAGAATTACTGGGGTTATGTTAGTTGGTTAATCAGTAATAACACCGAAATATTATAACGAGGAAACGTTTTCTGTGGGCATTTTTTTTTTTTTTTTAACAGATTAGTGTGGTCCTTATTTCTTCGCACGGTGGTATGCCGCAAGCCGTTTAATTTTTTAACTGTATACGTCACATAAATCTTATGAATTCTCAGAATATTCGTGTGAATAATTGAAAATGAAAAGCAAAATTCATAAGGAAGACGTAATGACATAGTGAGAATTGTTAAAATGCCGTAAAAATAAAAGATAACAAATTCATTGGTGGTGGGACATTTCAATCGAAATACAAACCGTAATACATGTTTTGAGTGAATGACAATCGGATGACGAATTTTTTCAGAACTAGAATCACTTATAAAACGTGATCGATGAAATTATGAATTTTTTGGTGCGTGATAGTCTTTATGATCGGTATTTGAGATATTGCAATTTTAGTCTTTGGTGTTTATTTGTAAACTCAAACATAAGCTTTTTACAAACTCAATAACTTTTGTAATTGGCATTGTGGTCAGTAATATTCCCCGCACGAATCGCATTCATTTTTTCCCCTTAAGTCTGAATAACTATTGTCACTTCGACGCTGCAGATCAATAGTTACAGAACAAGCCACATTTTTTGAGGGCATAATAATATTTTGTTGGTAGTTTTTCGCGAATATTTCTGTGATGAAAAATTAGTAAACGCTTACATTAAAATATAGCAATATTAATTCAAAGATGTTCAACTTGAATCGATGGCCATCGAATTAAATAATAAACATG